CTTTCATTGCCAGATGTTGATTCTAACAGTCAATTTCCAACAAAAGCCTGAAACCCTTCACAAATCCCCTGTAGTGCTTCTTCAAAATTTACCGGCCACAATTTAAGTCTGAAATTTAATGTTTATCATAAAGTCTCAGTTACTGGAATCAAAATCTTAATAATACAATCTAGGTTTATTCTACTCAGTGAAAAAGTCTTGCATTACTGACTGCAGGAAAAAAGCCAGAAGGGAAAAATCAGGAAATTACAAGGTATTAAGTAAGAATGCTAAATGTACTCTTAAAAATAAATCTAATCCTGAACAACCTGCTTACCAACACGATCATCTGGATGTATACATACTGCATGATTTTACACTGCATTTAAATTCAAGTTCTGCTAATAGTGCAAAACTATACTTAAGTGGCACTCTTCTGAACACTTCTGTGGCTCACATCAACAAAATTTTTGGCCTCCTTCCTTACTGAGCTATTCTTTACCAGAGTGTGTGAACAGATTCTTGCTATTTTTGCATTTTATTAGTTCTGGGTTTTCACTTCAGAAATTACACAGACTGTGACGGGGGCTCATGCAGCCACTAAACAAGATGTAAGAAGGCAGCAAAAACTGGGCTGGTTGAGCTACAGAGCTCTTGAAGCTATAATTTTCTGTTGGATAAACTCATGCAGCACAACTATACAAAAATCACTTAGCTCAACTTAAGCCAAGCTAAGACCAATGTTTTAATTCCTAAACTGGATGGAAATTACTGAAGGAAGTAGCTGGGTGTTCTTTCCCACACGTGCATTAACATAAGCATTGTATTGAATCTCACAGGTAAGTGATAAGCTTAGCTGTCACAAGACAAAACAGCAACATCTCAACTGTAAAACGTAAGTACTCAAAACTGCGGATCCAACACATGCTTTTGTATGTGCGATTATACTCTAATATTAATTGTGTGGTAAGTCTCTAATTTAAATACTGCTTAAGAAATCTTGTGGCAGGAAATAAAAGTCTGAAATTTCAAGATGTCCTAGTATGGCTAATCAGGATTATTTTTTTAATGTGTTTTCAAACTAACTCAAGACAAGAGAACAAGAACAGTTCTTGCTAACAATTCTATAGAGTAACTCATCTATTCATGCAAGCAGTCCATTTTGTTTTAATAAACCGACTCATAAAAGTAGAATCATTTGCCAAAAATAAAAGGAGTAAAAAGTCCTAAACTTTCTATTTTTATACACCCTAACCTTTTAACCTTTGGTAACTGCTGTTCACTAAGGAAGGGAACTTCTGCTCTGGCAAAGAGAAGAAGTGATGCAAGTGTTACATCAGATCGGTTTTTACTCCATCAGCAAATCTAACAGTGATAAAAAAAGCATCCTCTGAAAATTTTTTTGTATATCCTATTTCTCAGTTGTTTTGGTAGAGCTTGAAATATGTACTCCCACAGCTACCTAAAATAAAAGGAAATCTGAAATGTGAATTTTTGGAGGAAAGATCCACTGAATGATAATTCACAATTGAACAATCTTTCAAATTAAATGATGGAAATTTGTTATTTAAGCAAATGAACTTCCGATATTTGATAGGCTTCCAGCCTCATTGCAACAGTGCACGTAAGTTTAAGATATGAACAACTTAGCATTATTAGTGGGGGTCCAGCACCTAATGTTAGCTGAAAGCTGATAAAGAGTCTGGGAATCACACTTGTAATCAAGTAAATTCAACAATGCCTGAGATGCAAGCAGGAGTCTAAATTATTTAATTTCCCATTATTGCAGAACAACTCACCAATATTCCCAAAACAGAATTATAACACCAATATACTAATAAGAGCATTTAGTGCATTTTACCTGTCAAGTTTTGGATTATCTTGTCTTTCCCTTTGTTGCTCAAATCGTAGTTTCAGTCCTTTGAATGTCTGCACATAGTCTACATCTTCCAGTGCCTTCCAGTAATTTTCAATTACATGAGCCGTTAATGATTTTATATCTTCCTACAGGAATGAACAGCATAAAGTGACTTATTTTAATCCAAATTACTGTATTTAATAAAATATAAAAAGTAACTGAAATGACAGACAATTTTAAACATTACAAAGGAAGTAGCATATTAACTAGCTTATGCAAAAATTAGTATTATGCATACAAGTGTAGTTAAAAATCTAGAGCTTCAAATACCTGACCAGCAAAACACGAATAATAGCAGCAATTTTCTAGCAGTATCTCCTTCCAAACTCATGAACAGAACCTAAAACCCCGGCAGAAGATTATACCAAAACCAATTCTAAAAGGTCTTTCCCACTGTAATTTATAAATATTTTAATAATGATACCAGTTAATCACTGATATCTGTTGCCATAAGTCAATTAAAAATATATTTATGAGATACAGACTTAGAATTCATATTATTTCTTTCCACAAATAAATTACTTATGTAAAAATAAATATTCAATGTATTTGTTTAGGATGAGAACAAGGAAGGTATTTTTCATCAGAAACTAACATGAAGTTTTTCCTCTATGGCCATACGGTGCTGGCCAAGGCTCCTTACAAAACCTTCCCAATGGTTCTGTTATTTCGGTTTAGGGTTGTGGTTGCCCAAAGCCACTCTAGGCAGCTGAGACTAGCACAGGTCTGCATCCTGCAGCAGGGAAACTGCTCCTGGGCATTGTTTGGCTTTCTGAGCACAGCCCAGCCCCTGGAATACACACCTCAGAATAAACACCTGAATTACCAGCTAATAAGGACAAGTAAAGAAACATGAATTTTAATACACTGATTGTTTTCCTTTTTGGTTATGCGCTCAAAGGTCCCCTCTTGTGAATGGTAATACATTAGTAACAACAAAAGCATACTTTTTAAAAATTTGCTCTCTTTATAAACAAACTTGGATTAAAAAGAAAAAAAATGCCAAATTTACAGATACCAAGAACTATTCTGGAAATGCAACCTGGTAATCTATGTGAAAAGGAAGGTAACAATATAAGACAATTTATTTCCCCATAGCATGAACTATGGAATCAGCACCAAATCTCAGAGAGTACTGAAAGATCACAGTGTGGAAGTCAGGGCCACCCATATGGATTAACTTTTTTCACTGCTACAAAACTGTTTTTAAATCAACTCTTCCATGATAATCAGGTCATCTCAGTCCTGACTTACCCTGAGTCTCAGCTCGAAAAGAGGTCATTAGCACAGAAGATTTCAAGAGGTGACCAAGCCTTTTTTCCTCATCCACTTACTCCTCCATGACTGACTGCACCCTAGCCTGGCCCCACTTACCACATTTAAGGTCTGTACAGCACCTTGTCAGAATCTGGATGCAGACAACAGTGAGGAAACAGTACTGTGACAACCGCCAAATTGGCATGAGTATTTTAGGAGACTCCCCACCGAAAGAACTTTGCAGCACCCTACTAATATAATCAAAAAAGACTAGTATTTCTTCTGTATGTTCCCATATTCGGTTGAGTTGACATTATAGAGCACAGCTAAATTGGATGGTTTTGTAGCAGCAGTTTCAAATTACGTCCCTGTGATAACAGTCCCATCCAATCTGCATGATCAAACTTAATTAGTGCTGCCTTTGCACATCTGTGAATACACACTATTAAGTGAATTTAACTTTCAAGTCACAGTACTGTTTGAACATAAGAAAGCACATGTAAAAATACGTAACAGTGATTCAAAAGAAAGCTGATTTAAATACAGTATCATACAGTCCCATTACGATAGCATAACCTAGGGTGTAAGTAAAAAGAAAAGTTATCTTGAATTACAAGATTAAACAATACAGTAATCGTCTTCATCATGTAAAAGCACTCACCACTCTGATAAATTCAAACATCTCTATTATGGCAGAGTTCATCAGATTATAACGGGAACCATTATTTAAAAATGCTTTGACCACAGGTTCAAACAAAAAACTTTTCATTATGTAACGGTTGTAGAATTCATCCTTTAGCCCAATTATCTTCCTCTTGAAACGAAGGGCACCTGAAACAGAAGGGTTACCAAAATATTTTTTAAATTTAAAAGAAAAAAAGCCCAGGAATTATTCAGTGTTAGGGCAATTTACATCCTCAGTTCTTACACAGCATTACATTACTAGAACCAGGTAATACATTCAGCTATTCTGTGCTTCTCCACAGTCTTGACTATACTAAAGCTTACCTATTTTATCATGAAGAAACCCATCCTAACTGTGTATGAGTGAAGCCACCTCTGTTCACTGATGAAATAATATACTACTGTTTAAATTATTCTAACGTAAAGGTGTATTTTCGCTTTTTTAATTTACTTATGACAAAGGTAAAATATTATCTCAGCAGAAGAACTGGAAGATTCGCTTACCATTCCCCTTATTAAAGTATAAGTTCAATTACATTTAATTAAGTCCTATTTGATTAGGATACAAACTATGTCACTTTAAAACAGGCAAATGACATTCTTCACACACATAGGAAAGCAAAGACTTAATTTACATCCAGTTTAAAGCTTTTTCTGAAACTCCGAAGCGTACACAGGTATGTGAATGTATTAACAGAAAGTAGTTTCATCTTGATACGAGGCATCACATTTTGGTTAGCAACTAGATATAAATGAAAAAAGATTATTCAAGGGTTCTAAAACCTAACTCAGGCGATTCAGTTACAAATTTAAAAGGTTACTTCTTATTGTATGGTATGTTACTGCTCAGTCAACTTTAGGCTTTGTTTCACTCTACGTGCACAATGGAATTATGGAACAAATCTCTTACTTGCCTCCAGAATAAAGCCACACTGCTTTATTATTACTGTGCTGAGCATGGTCAGTAAAATAGTTACTAGAGGCTGAAAAGCAGCACACAGAGCTTTTGTGCTGTTTAATACAGTCCAAATTAGAGATCTAATAATTTCTAATCAAATATCTCTGATAATTTCTACTAAAAAAATGTCAAAATTTACAATGGTTCTCAGTATATTCAATATTGAGATACTATCTTTTAAATTCACCTCTACATTGAGATTAAGAAAAACTCTTCTGCTTTTTAGGGAAAAAAAAAAAAAGACATCTATAAGTGCAAAATTATTTACTAATACTAGCTGACATAGCTAGAAATTGGTATGAATAACACAGAGTATAACAGAATTTCTGTATTCAGCCACAAATTGTCCTCATCTGTGAACAGTCTTCTTCCAGCCGAATGATGACATGCAACACTTCACATTCACAAAGTACTAGTTTATTCTTCAGCTTTTCAACTTACACAATGCCAAGAAAGCATGCTTTGAGGCCATGAGAACGAGTACCCTTCGCAGGATATCTTTGTTTATGATGTAGTTCTTTATGTGATAAGTATGATGTTCTACACAGAAAGTTAGCAATTCCAGTATTAATGCCAAGAGTTGGGCTGTCTGAAAATCATCTGTAATAAAACCAAAACCAAAATCATTAAGCTTATGTAGGATATTGCCTTCAGGAGCTAACTTCAAATATCCAACTACAGTCTGGTAAACATTTACAAGTTCTTCTATATTCCCACAGAGAGTTTAGGAAATATGCCACAGGGTATGTTTAGTCTTTAAAACACAAATTGAACAACCTGCATATGGACAGAGTATTTTCTATTTATATAGATATGTCAGGAAACCCTCTTAAATTATAGAAACAATTACATTTTGTCTCAAATCAGTGTTTGAAGGTTCAGAGAGGACAGAATATAACAGTTACACAACTGTCAAGCTTTTTTAACCAAATCTCATTATAATGTCCATATGTCTATATCATAAAGTACTACCCTATATGCAGTGCCTTGGCTACATTTGCACCAAAAATGTGATCTGTCTTTTAACAAAAACTTTCTCAGGCTTTTTAAATAATTCTAGGACATAACTGTATCAGCATATACAAAACGTAACTCAAATCCTGCTTGTAAGTAGAAAAACAGTAAGTTAAATACACACTAGATTTAATACTTTTTAAAAAAATATGTCCTACCTTTTTAAAAATATTGCCAGACAGCAGACCATTAAAGAACAGAAGTAATTTAAATAATAAAAATCTCACTTCCAATCTATCTGGATGCCAGTTAAGATAAAACAGATTAATTTAACTAATCCCTTGGAAATCCATACAATAAATTAAGAAGTTTAGAGAACATTTATGTATCATTTATGTGCCTCCTTTTATACCCATTTTGGATGTGTTATACCATTAACAAGCAAACAGTACTGCTACTAGTAGCCAACAAGAATAGTCACTTCATCACTGATCTCTGATTTCTTAGTCTGATGTAGAACCAATACCCTCGAATTCAGCACAGTATTGTGACACACACCTTCTCAGGGCAATTCTGCATCCTCTCTAGTAATCCCTGCTCTTAAAAAATATTTACACATGTTTGCAAGTTTATGTCACTGAATAGCCCCATGACTTACTAAAAATTATACAGTATTTCATTTTTTTCTGAAGCAAAATCTGCAGCAAATCCTGTTCACTTCTTAAATCACAACTCTGCTGAATTTTATAATTATAAATTATCCAAATGACTAAATGATTAATCAACATTTTACTTTGAACAATGTATCACAAACTCAGATACTCTTTAAGACAGAAAACATCCTTTGACAGTTACTTTATTTTAAACATTGACATCCAACAGGCTTGATATGCCCAAAATCCAGAGTGGCATTACCTTTGCTAGGCTTGTCCTCTGTAGTATTGGCCAGTAAAGGGGCTGTCAGAACATGCATACAATGTTTGTAGAAGAAACCCAAGAACTCTGTCTTTTCTGTTTTCTACAGAATGGAAAAAAATTAAATATATATATATATCATATCTGTAACACATCTCACCAATACTCTAAAAAACAAATGTAGTTTCATTTTAAGGTGTTTACTTACATTGGCAGTGGCAAGCATATTTTCTGGATCAACTAAAGTACGAAGCAAACCCATCAGCAGCACTGCCCCTCCGAGTTCTGGATCTGTGTCACAAATCATGTGTTCTATAATGAGGTTGATGAGTAATATATCCTAACAGGGCAGGAAAAAAAAAGGCAAAGATCAGTTCTAATGCTCCTCCTTTGCCCCAAATCCAAATTATTTTCCAAAAGGGTTAGTGCCTGGTTAAAATGATGCCCTATCAAAATTCTGTAAAATGTAGAAAACTACCAAACAAAAAAATCCAAACTTAACAGAAACAAATTAATTTTACATGCCTGGTCAGTGGTTCACATTAAGAAGGCAAACAGTGAAGAAGAATCTTTCAAAGCAACTAAAAGTAGTTCTGCAATTAACAATCTGATTTTGAATTCAGTCTGAACTGAAATGTCAAAAGGTAAAAAGCAGAGACAGACAATTAACAGTCTCAAAATACAACTAATTTCTGGAAGTGTTTTCAGAGCACAGTTTTTATTTGCACACCCCCCACCATCCCCCACCTCCAGAATACATACCAAGAGTTTTACTTCTACAAACATACAACAGTACATTTTATAATGCTATTGAACTTGATGAGATTATTTTCACCTAAAAACCCCAACACATATCTGCAAAAACCAAGAAGCACACATAAAAGTAGAAAATAATATTTACATTTAGGAATCCCTAGACTAAAGTTACTTGGTTACCACTCTCCCCCATAAAAGAGGACAGTCATCAGATTCAAGTGGCTGGAAGGACCAGCAATATTCCCTGTCCTAGCTGGCCCTTTCTTCCAGTACAGAAGTAGCAGCATCAGCAGCTTCCTGTTCTCTGGCACGTTTTTAGCAGATATGAAAAAAACATTAACTATCTCCTCTAGCGAAAAGGCAGCACAATGTTTTTTCTCCACTGAATACCAGTCTGAAATACCCTTCTTGCTACTAGTTGTGTACTGCATTTTGTAGTAATCAGCTAGAGAGGATCTCTGAGAAATGTAAACCTTTGTTGAAATGTGATCTTAAACACTTAGAACCATCATTCCACTTGCAACATGTGAGATAGTAAACCAAACACAGGTTTCTTACAAGTAAATTAAAAACACATGTATATACTAAGATCAAGACTGAAATTTGTATTTTGCATTTTAAGGTGGCCCTCATTCAAAACCATTTTGCACTACTTGTATGACAGCTATGTTAACCAAAATGGTGGTTTATGGTAACCTGTTTTAAGGAACAAGAATATGCAAACAGGCAAACATTTATCTCACCAAACAGAACTATTAAAAACATGGCAGTTCAGTATCCTGTAACTATCATGACTATATCGCATAACTCTTCAGAACTAAGGTTCATGTCCTTAATAGAGTTGTAAATATAAAATAGTAATTCCAAAAAACCACACACACATTTCTAGGGACCCTCTACTTACATCATCATTCTGCTGTGCTTCCTGCATGACAAACTCTCGTACCATGGATGGGTTGTATTCAACCAAATATGAGAATATATCAGTGGCTGCACTTCGTACTTGTGCATCATCCATCCCCTGGAGAAGTCAAATAAAATCATTTATGTTTCCTTTAAAGAAAAGGCTTAAATGGAATGAAAAGCAGAAAGCATACAGCTTTTAATTCCTACTGACAAGTCATACCTAATTGTTACTAGAACTGTATTCTAAACCTGAATTGACTATAACCTCTTCTTTGTACATTTGACAACTGTTGGGAAAAATACATTTTATGTTTTCCCTCCTCTTTGGTCTATTTCCCTATTTTCTAACTTAACCGTACACCAAAGAGCATCTAAAGATGTAAAGCGAACAAGAAAACAAAAATGTAAGAATGCCAGGTCACTTACCAATGCCATACTGCAACTGGCTTTGAAGTTTTACAAAACTATTTTAACTCAAGCTAAGACAAGAAAATGAAGCAAACACTTCAGAAAACCATGTGTCTGAAGTTTGGCATACTTATTTTTTTTAAAACAACCTCTCTGGAGATAAATAAAATTGTTATCATAAATAAAATGGAACTGACTTACCAATATAACTTCTAGTGCTGGCAGTATGCCCATATTTGACAAGGTTTTGAAAAACGCATCTCTGTTTTGAGGTTGCAGTGTTTGAGAGAATGCACAAAACTCTTTCAGAAAGTTTACCTGAAAAACACGAATAATGTACTAGTTAGTAATTAAAAAACCAGATGCATGCCACACTTTGTAGTAACTGTCCCTTTCATGTGTGTGTCACAGATTTCTTACCAATTCCTGTCTTTTCTCCTCATCTGTGGCTTCATCTGTTAGCTGTGCAAACAAGTCTGTCAGAAATTTTTCATCTTCCTACAAAGGCAAAACAATACCATTTGTTTATTTGACAATAGCAAAAAGGCATAGATTATAATATAAAGTTCTTCTAAACCATGCCTCCTGCAACTGAGAGAACATATGCTTGTGTACTGTAGTTAATCATATCAGTATCAACTTTCTAATTCAATTTTCAAACAAATTTATATGAATCTTTGTTTTGTGCTTTTATCATGTTCAGCACCACTCCACCCCCAACACTTCACTCTCAGTTCCGATGTATCTTGTATTGCCTTTTGGCTGTCCTTTTTCTACTTTCTACTGCCAATCTCATCATTTTGTTCACAACTTCTTCTCTAACTTCCTTCCCCCTTGTCACATGCCTGTCCCTGAAACCACACTACAATACACTTGCTTCAACTGTTTACACGTATTTATAAACATGACCTCCCACTCAGTCCTACACATACATATACCTTTGGAACGTTATGAGATCTTTGCAGCAGACAAAGTCACAATGAAGAGAGTGTTTCCTAACAGCAGGAAGGAGGCAAGACTCTATCTCCCCACTGTTGTGAGAAGGGTGAACTTTAGAAAACAAACCAAAGTAAGCGTTTCTATTACGTACGGCATTTACTGGGCATTCTGTCTGGCAGCAGTCAAAAACCCTTCCATTATTTTTCATGCTGATGTACCTCAGCAAAACTACAAACAGCAGCCAACACATTACAAACATGTATTTAGACTGAAAAAGCAGTAACATGTAGCTTCCCATAACCGTCACAGTCCTAACAACTACATGATCATTAAAATGGAAATAAACCTTCCCCATCCTTTCCCCAATATTACACAGTTATAAGACAGCACTTGCCTGTACACCAGATAGGAATGGATTTTTTTTCAAAAAGCTGCCTGTATTGATTCTTGTGACACCATGTGCAATATCCCTCTACCCTAAAACCACAGTGCTAGAAAACCAAGCTGCCTTGCTTATGTTTACACAGCATAAAGCAGAACCATGACAGTACTTCAGATACATCCACATGAAGTTTCTGAAATTGCACATCATCCAGGTACCTCACCCAGGCTCACTTTGCAGCCTTGCTGAGAAAATGCGTACCTCAGATCCCATAGCACACCACGCTAACGCAGCTGTAACACTGTCACAACCCAATCCAGGATCTCTACATGGCACTGCACAACACAGATAAACCCAAAATAGGTTGGCATGAGCTACTGCAGTACCAGGCATTTCACCACACTTTAAGGGAAACCCTGTATTTGGGATATACCACATTTCCTCTTGTTATATGCTGTGCTGTGCTTCCAACCTGACCCAACAGTTTAGTGATAATAAAGAAGAATCATTTCTGCACACAATTTCAGGTGCTATTTCTGTGGCTGCTTCAAAATCAAAACGACATAGGAGAGGCCTTGTGAAGTTTACTGAAACTCACTCTGGAGGAACAAGCACTGGAAATGTAAAGTTTGACTTTCAGATTTCAACAGTCTAACATGTTCAACATGAGCAACTATTAAGGTCTTAGATTTCAAGAAAAGTAACGAGCTGTGATGAAAGAATACAAGGATGTTTGACTACCTACTATCCAGCTGTAACATGGCTTGGTAAGATTCTTGTTCTAATATCTAACATATTAGACATTACAGGTAAGATAACTAACCCACAGTACTCATACCAACATATTTTCCTACTGAAATTAAAAAAAAAAAACCCAAAACAATAAACACACACAAAAATATAAAACATAAATGGCTCTTTTGAAGAACATGCAAGTTATTCTCCATGATTAGCAGTGTGTTTAAGAAAAGGCTAAGTAGTTTCCTTTCATTTATCTTTTTGCTATTTTTAATCAAGATATGAAACTAACCTCATCTCCATCAAAACTACTGAGAAGATGCATGCTTAGCCAAACTGGAAAAATGTAACCCATATGTCCAGTCTCACTGTGAAATGAACTTTTAATCTCCCTTATAATACCTCACAGTAAGTGCAAGTCAATACCATGGAACTATCTCAGAATGGTCACTGGAGAAAAACAGTGGAAATTCCAGCATTTAAGTATGTCAGAGCCAAGATTCATGTGTTTCTGCATAAAAAGGTACACAATACTACCCAAAGTATCTCTTTTTTTTTTTTTTAACTCAAGTGTGGAAGGAGAGGAGGAGTTCCTGTGGTGCTGGTGTCATGGGGGTCTCACTTGTGACCCACTGCAGAGCCCCAGAGGTGGCCAGTGAAGCTGCACCTGCAGCACTAATGGCAGAGCCCGACAGGCAGGGCCTCGCCGGGCAGGACCCCAGCTCAGCTTTCTGACAGGTCACCACATTCCTGCCTGGTTCAAGATGAGGCCATCCACAGACACCAACCCACTCACCCTGTTACTGGGCTTGCAAACATCTGGGACTTGTAGAGGGGACTTTATAATACTGGGAAGTGATGAAGACTTCAATGCTGACACTTAATGCTTCAGGAAGAATTTGCAGAAGTTCAGTATGTAATCATTTTTCAACCTTCCACATATATACCATAATACAGTCTTTTAAATTCTTTATCAAAGATAATATTGAAGCATTTCCCACATCAGCTCCTCTCCCAAACACCAATAAATACACTCTATTTTTAAATTAATAGGACTATCTGAAATCTGTAATTCTCACAAGAATCTGTTTAAAATCAGATCTATTTAATTTATTTAGAAGATCAATTTAAAATCAGACAAAATTAAGATGGATCTGAGTGATTCAAAATAACCCATTCTTACATGGATAACATGAAATAAATGGCAGTTATTCCAAGAAAAAAAAACCCAAAACAACCTGTTACTAACTTTGCAGTTGTCTTAACCCTGAAATGGGTTTCAGGTGCTGTCTTATTCCAGGATGCTTAAGGAAAGGTAGACAGGTTGTTATGGATGGGAAAACCCCCAACACTCCTGTATTATAGAAAATTGTGATTGCAATGAACATTCTAAATACACTATTCTCTCTCTCAGGGTGTAAAATTACTGACAAGGGCAATCTATCTACAGATACATTCCTAGACAACACTACCAGAATCTATGGAAATGCACAGTCTGAAAGCAGAGTTCACATATTTAGAAGTCCCAAAGTACCAACACCAAATGCTAGAATTCCACAGGCTTAAGTGTTTCCCATTTGGGGTTTTTTCCAACTTGGAAAAACCCCCCAGAATATGTCTGTGAAGTGAACACAGCCCAAATGCATAATTCTTTGCAGTATGTGGCCCCTTCATGCAGACAAGCACCAAAATCCATTTGGATGTATCTTGGAAGCCATGAAAGTCACAACTGTTTCTAAGATAATACAACTGCAAACGATAGTTTATGAGGCAACTGTAAAGTAGCTATTTACGCCATGCAAAGAAATTAATTAAATGTGCAATACTTAAATTATGCATATGCCAAATACTAAGTGTATTCATTTATGCTTCTGCAAGATCCAAGTAGATGCTCCTAGGATTTAATACCTTTCAAAGATAAAACTAAGCCAGTTTTAAAACTAAATGCAATCATTTATGACTTTAAAAACAAGGAAACACACAAAGCAGGATCACAAAAAAAGACACTATTTATATTTGTGATTCAACTTTCAAAGCAGTCCTCCCCCTCCTACCAGTAGGCACGTAAAAAAGCATTCTTCAAAAGCAGGTGTCTCTTAAATACAGTTAACTTGCACTTATCAGATACTTCATGTCTGTGATTACAGATAAATGACAGAAAACATCTTCTTCTCAAAAAAAAAAAAAAAAAAAAAAAAGCTTTCAAGCAGCTCTGTGACACCTGAGCTGGAAGAATACACTTCCCATCCTATTTTCCACCTCTATATTCATTTTAGGCAGAAATAATATTTCAGCCCAGAAAGTGAAAGTTTCATAAAACGCTACCAGCAAACAATTACAGCTTCAAACAGACATTCTTTCCTGTTGCCACAGCAGAAGATTTCATAGTTCAAAAATGTTTCAGTCTCCTTTACCTCAGACTACCTTCCCACACGTGCCTTTATTTGCTATCAATAAGCTATTTCCGCTTGAAACAACATGCTGAAACAGCAATGGGATCTATTTATCACATTTGGAGTTTCTGTAGACATTGACGATAATTTTGTACAATGTAGAAGCTAAATCTCAGAAATCATTAGCATACACCTCTTGCAAACTTCTTTCACTGCCATTTTCCCCAGAAAGTGGCATCCTTTTACACCTTACTTGCAAGGTAAATTTTGCTGGGAGTGGATTTCCAGAGTTATTCCTGAGCCAACTACTGCAAAACAGCAGACTGGCAGAAGACATTCCATTCCTAATACATTTGTGTAAAACTACCCACATGCATTAACACAGTTCTTTCTCTAAAACATCTACAGATAATTACATTTGCATCCATGGAGTTCTGTAAAGAATCTGTAACTAGCTGTAAAACCACTTTCAAAATTATAACCAGCCTGTTGTTATATATAAATTCAGCAAAATATACCTAAATGTATATACCTAAGATGTACCTAAATGCCTACAATTTTTTAGCTATTAAAAAGGGATATAGGGACTAATAGCAAAGTGATTTCTGTATTTAGAAAAGCTGATTTACTAGTGCAGTAGTGCCACGCAATCACTGCTCTCCTAGGCACATGAATTAGCTTATGTCCAATGTTCCACTTGTACTCTCCACTTTCCTCAAAATAAAAGTCTCTGAATATAAGTCTAAAAGCACATACCCCAGAGTAAACCTAACAATATTCTGTATTCTGGAAGTTAAAACTGCAGAATGTTGCTGGCAAAAAGAGCATGCCAATGAGATAGGGGGGATAGAACAGAAGGAAACAGTGTTTGCTCACTCTATGGCGCAGTTTTGCAAGTTTTTGGTTTTTTTTAAGAACTAGTTAATAATACAAAGGGAAAGAACTGGTGGCCTCCAGTGTGAACATTAGTATGTATTTTTTTTAATTGCAAAAGAGCGTCATATAAAGTAAGAAACACCACTTACCTGTCCCACCCCCACTCTCAAAACTTGGTGAACTCCATGTTTCAGAGAGGTTTCTTGGTGGCTATGACATCTCAAGACTAGAACAGGCTGGACCCCAAGCAGTAAGAGCATATTAGGAGGGGCTGAAATTGGAAAAAAATGTTATATACTTCTTTCGTATGTTATGTACAGTGAATCATAAAACCTGTAATTGCGGAGGTTTCCAGAGCAGTTAATTCTGTAGACTGGAAATACGGGGCTTACTACCCATCATGAAAAACAGTATCTAGTTTAGTGAGATCTCCACATACTTACTTAAAATGACAGATCTTAGACAATTAAATCACACATAAACTAACCTCCATTTCTCTTAACAGCCCATCAGTGTAAGCATTTCCATAAACAGTATGGGAAAGCTAACCTTAGTAAAGGAGAGAGGAATACAGTTCATAACCCTAAGTGCCAAAGGCAACCCATTCTCTATTTTTTGTTTTACCACAGAACAGCCAGAAGTTATTTACCTACCAAAGGAAGCAAAATCATGGAAGCAGGTATCCTCTATGACTGCAGATTTTTTCTCTTTTTAAAGACATCCAAAATCCCTAATAAAGCCAGAATTCTTAAGAGTCTGCATATTCTTATTTACAGAATCCACTAGTTATATCAAAAAACTAACCTTAAATGTCCTATCTTGACAGCAAATACCTTAAATAAGACACAGTGATAATTTTGAGGAAAGTCACCCGGCCTGTGAAAAAGCATAAGGCACAACCTGCACAGAGGCTTGTACAAATTTCTAGTCACTACTCTCTAACTAAGGTATGGCTGAGTTAATTTGAAATGAGGGTAGTGCAGTGTGCCATTTTAGTTAATATACAGCCTGACATGAGAAGGGCTCTGTACAGCTTGTCTGTTTTGCCCTGGTGGAAGTTACAGTTTTTCTTCTCCTTTCCTTAAAAGTCAGTAAGAGACAGAAGAACAGAATATAAAACAAGTCAGTTGTACACACAATAGCTGCAGTATGTCACAGGGTATCAGCTGCTCAGGGACTTTATTTTTAATCCAAGAGGTAAAATTTCCTAAAGAGATAACTCTTTTCTCAATGGTCCAGGAGAGACAACCTGAAGTCAAGAGCTGAAGCATTAACAACCTGTATTACGCATCAACTAAGAACTTGAGACTCATCCATGGGTCCCAATAAAGTACCAGGAAGCATCCCAGAAACTCCTCCATTAGCAATGATTTATAAGAATGAGCTTCTTAAGTACACGTTAGGTTAGTGAGCACGGGGATATCACAAGATCTAAAATAATGAATGCCAGAAACTCCACAGACAAGTTTAAATCTTTCATAAAATAACACCCCCACCACTGAAATACTGTGATAGAATCAATTATAGAAATGCATTTTAAACCATACGCTAATAAGAGACCTTGAAAAATAGTTCTAGAAGTGAAATCAACAAAAGCAGTCTTAATTTTGTTCTCAGAACATTATTTATTCTGCTTAAAGAAATGAAAAGGAACAGTACCATACATTGTATACATAGAATGTAAGAATGGGGGGGGTGGAGAAAGGAAAGGGGAGAATGAAAATTTAGAGAGCAGAGATAACAAGAAAGTGCAACCTGACATATTGCTCTATAAATAAATGAATAAATAAATGTCAGGTAAGTAGGCTTAAACCTTGATTTAGAGCTACACTGTGAGAACTAGAAAAATCAATCTATCAATTGATCAGTCAAGCCATTTAATCTCTTAGAAATGCAATGAGTGTATAATTTGTGATAGCCTCTTTTAATTCCCTTAAAACCAAGAAGTGATCATAAATTTTAATCATTAATTTCCAACAGTCTTATTTATAAACTCAGGAGTTCCCCCTCAATGCTATAGAGCTGTACTGTGAAAGGTCTAGGAAATGCAGTATCACACAGAATATGTGTTCTTCCTCTTGTGCTACCACTTGTGGCTGCTCAGAACTGTAGAAAGCACTTGAACAATTTGAAATACTTATGTAACTTTCAAAGTTATGCAATGATAATTGTTCTGGCCCCATCACACACAGAGTACACTTTATTCTCAACCACAGAAATAGCAACAGAAGTGAAGATAACGCTGAGACACCTGCGGTCACACAACAAATCAAAATCAGATCTCAGCCTCTGTTTCAACTGTAAACTACAACTAAAATGTTCCTCAACTGCACCAATCCCTGATATTCTAATCCAAGCTCACCCCACATCTATTAACCTAACACAGGTTGCAAGAGACAGGAAAGAAGGAAACTAATCAGCTACTCAATCAAGTTACCCGAGGATTCTGGCAAAAACACCCTTACTGATTTTGCAGGATCAGGATCCCTTTCTTCCTTGCCCAGCTTCCTTTCCTAAGTTCAAGAGCCTTCTCAGAATCAGCCACTGACACCAAGATTCCTGAATAATTCTTCCACTCCTCCTCCTCAAGCCAAAATATATGATTGTCAGGACTTCGCTTTTAGCAACCCTTGCAAAGAGGTCAAGATATTTTAGAGACACAGGTCATAATGGATACTCAAGCTGAGATCCCTTAACTGAATTTTTCAGCACTCTCAATGTCAAACTTGTAAGCTTTCTCAAAATGACCGCTCCAAAATGCTTACGGCCTTCTGACTATTTCAGATACACATTTTTTACTTTATTATCAAGGATACACGTACAGACATGAAGAGTTTGGTTCAGTTGGGTGCAAGCTGGGGTCCAGGACTAATGAAGATGCCCCTGATGTTCTACCAGCCCTCCACCAGCTGCTGCAGGAAGAGATGGTCTGTCCACAAGGCACATGCCTCAGCTGCTAGGCATGGGTAACATCTTGCACATGCGGCTGCTTATCAAATACTACATGTGTGGATATAGCATATTAAAGCTCCAAGAGAGTGCATTAAATAATATCAGTATTCTGATCAACTGAGTGTGACAGATGAAAAGTTGGGAGGCTTTGCTATGAGCTTGCAAAAGGAGTTTTCACTCTCCTTTGCTGTGTATTTCATAAAATCAAACAGGATGCATGCTGAGATTCAACTTTAGATAAAGACAATTAAGGTCATCAGTAGCATCTAGCACTTTGCTCATTTCTCCAGATAAGACAGCCCTTACAAAGACAGTGGCTATGAATTTATGAAATGTTAGGAGAATTAAGATAGCAACAATCAACAAACTAAAATACATATGCTGTAACACTTAGCTGAGCTCACTGAAAGCCTTAGGAAGCTCCCACTACAGACATATGCCACGTATTTCTACACAGTTTGGGAAGTTCATGGTTTGGTGCAGAATATTTGACATGTAAGCAAGATATCTATAATCATCATATAAACTCTTTACATTTGCATTAAGGCATACATCGTGAAAAACTGGTAATTCTAAGCAGTATTATTTAGGGACTTACAAGACAAACTAAGAAAACATTCAAGCACCTAAGGCTATGTTATGCTCTGAACCTGTTCTTTCCAAACAACTGATTTCATTTACTCCCAAATCAGTTACAGTTATATCCTGGTATGAGACTGTATTTGTGGAATCTGGGTGAAGTAATTTGATTTTTTTTTTTCTTGTCATAGTAGCATGACAAAAATTATCCTTAACTGTAGTGCGTGGAAAGTACCAAAATACAGAAAAACCCCACAACCCCCTAACAAAATCAACCCTGCAAGATGCAAGCAGTACTATTCATTCCAAACAGCCTCATTCAGGATTCCACATATGTTTTGCTCCATTTAGATCAGTTACAGAGAATCTAGTTCAGTATCTGCAATTTAAGAACATATACTTAACAGCTCAGTACTCAAATCCATGCCTTTTATGTTATACTTCAAAATTACTTTCAGAATCACAGAAATGAAGGTTCCATCAAAGCACCTCAATCTTTCCAAGAAAAATTATCCAACTTTCTCTGCCCAAGCACAAATAGCAAATAAAGAGACTGTGAAGTTCTGAAACTTACCTGTAACATACCAACTATTTCCACTTTATTAAAAAAGATGAAAGAATGAAGTGTTGATAGCATATTTTCCTCAAAAACTGAGGGAGTAGGTAGGACCATATCTTGAATATACTGTACTCTGTATGTCTGATGTATTTTTTGCTTCAGCTCTGGATCAGATATAGGTATCACCTCTTTAAATTTTGCTGTTTTAGTCAGAAATTCCCTGTGTTTCCGTGACTGTGATAAAGACGGATCATATTCTAGGCATCCGATTACGTCCATTATACATTCCTCGGAAAACATGACTTCAAATAGTGCAGTTCTGTTCAAAAGGAAAATTCCCTTGATAATTTCATATAAGTGGTGTAGTCCTTCAATGTTCTCCAAGTCTTCGCACACATGAAAAATTTCTAAGAGCTTCTTAATATAGCCCTCATTTTCCAGTGCTAGTGCGAGTTTTTCACGACGTAATGGTGAAGGCAGTGAAGATGCCACAAGTTCTGCAATTTCTTCTAGCCGGCTTAATTCACAGGATGGCAATTCTAGACCTGGTGATGACATATCATCAAAACGTTCCTCCTCAGATTCATCGACAAGGTCCTGAGTAATATCAACAGAAGGGTCTTTGCCTTGAACCTACAAAATAAGATGTGTTCAAAAAAGCGGAGTTTAGTGTCTACTGCTACTTGAATGCTTTTATAAAAATACCATTTCAAACATCACACACTTGGTATGGCCAAAACAGAAGTGCAAACGTAAGTTTGACACTGAGTACAGCTGGTGTGGAAAGTAAGAGATAATGAAAAGATTTCTGGAGAAGAGAAGGCTGAGTGGAGACTTCATAGCAGCCTTCTAGTATCTGAAGGGGGCCTCTAAGGATGCTGGAGAGGGACTCTTCTTCAGGGACAGTAGCAATAGGACAACAGGTAATGGCTTCAAACTTAAACAGAGGAAGTTCAGGTTAGATATAAGGAAAAAGTTCTCCACTCTGAGGGTGGTGAGGTACTGGAATGGGTTGCCCAAAGAAGTGGTAAATGCTCCATCCCTGGCAGTGTTCAAGGCCAGGATGGAGAGAGCCTTGGGCAAGATGATCAGTGTGAGGCATCCCAAGCCCATGGCAGAGGAGTGGAACTAGATGATCTTAAGGTCCTTCCCAACCCTAACTATTCTGTGATTCTATGATTCTCTGCAGACAGATTTTCAAATGCAAACCAGTATGATATTATTGCAATTATAGCTTTAAACATTTATCTATAGGCTGTTTAACTACTTCATACTTTTCAAAGCTTCTGCTACCCCAAACAGGGGAGAGAGGCCAGTCCTGTTGTCATTTTCAGTTCAGGAGAGCTGCAAGTCAAAATCCACTACTATGCACCTTCTAAATACTCAACAGAGGCACAGAATCCCCTCTTATGAACAGAAACCCCCAAACCGACATTAACAAAAGAGTAGTGGAAATCTGGAGCCGTCAGCAAACCAAGGCATAGGACCTGCAAAGAGCTCTCTAGAGATACAACGACGAAACTGGAAAGCACAAATGAGAGAGGAAAAAGAATAGACAGATGCTTAGGCACCAGAGTGTTTCAGCTTTAATGACATCTTTATTGCAGTATCTGCCTGGAGTCTGATATGTCAAATCCAGGAAGACACTGCTGTGTAGACTGGTAGAAGTTACTGTTCTTTTTCATCCTGAAAATCTTCTTCATGGATAACAGCAAGCCTATACTTTGATTGAAATCCAGAATGTTGTCAAATTCCACATACTGTTCTGCTTATACATCAGCAACCACTTCCAGTATAAGTAGTATCAAAGTTTTCTTTTCAAAAGAAGCTTTAATGACTGAGGAAGGTTAAGATCTTTAAAGTACACTGGACACAATACAGTAGCATGGCCTCAAAACAGGATGTAAAGACACTGGTTTCTTACAAAAATACTAGATCTTTACATGAGGCTGAGGAAGCTGGGCTTCTTATCTGGGTGTTTCCCAAGAACACAATTTCCCCTTTCCCCCAATTCGTTTCTGTCCCCAACTTTTGGTCTTTTGACTGCTGAGGTTCCTGGAAATGTTTCTGTACTTATTTACATAAGTAGTACTTATTTCCAGATTTAATTTTAAATTCTAAAAATACGAATGATCTATACAGATGCAATTGCAAAACCAGATTTCTTTTGCTTTATTTCTGAAATTCGTGAGAACAAACTCCAAAAGACAGCATGGAGAGAGCTCAAGGTTTGTTAAGAACAGAAGAGTCCATAAAGAGAAGATAAGACATATGTTGAGAAATGCCACCTAATGTAGTACAGAAATAGAGAACTTGTAATGCTTGGAATGAAAGAAAACACTTAAACAAGAACTGACAAAATGAACTGATATAAGTGAATACATTGACTAAAATCTTCCAGGTATTGGTCAATAGTTAATACCTGACCAAATGTTACCCAGAAGCAACACTGATTCAGTGACTATATAGTCAGCTGGTCATAGTGGTAAAACATAATGAGTTAATTAGCACACATTAAAATATATACATGCTATATACAAATAGTTTCGTTTCTTAAAACTGTAAGAATTATAGCTTTGAGGGGATAATGAAGGGATAGAGCCATCTCTTACTTCAGAGGAACTATCAGGTCAATCTTCTATACCCTGCTAGTCAACAGAAGCATACTGACATTTACATGGAAAAAAGTTCTACTGAGAAACTCAATACTGCCCTCACCTGAAACAGCAGAATGAGATAAGAGAAGAATGAGAAATACAGAAACGGAAATGTGAATAAGATATGGTTACGTCCATGAGAAATATGTTATAAAATTCACTAATAGCTCACATACATTCTTCTGTCTACAACAAAACCATGGACAGGTAACCTTTTCCCTTTTGGCCATCCTGGGAAAAGTTAATTACAAAATAAATTGTTTTGAAACTTTTTAAGCACTCATTTTGAGCTAAAGTTTCTTGGGCAGTAACAGAGCTAATAAGATCTGAAAATACTCTAAAAAAACACTGCAAACATACTTTAAGTTCATAACAAATTTCTGGAGGAAGAAGAAAATGTGAAATTTGGGGGAGGCAGCTACAATGATGGTTTGTACTTTCTATCCACTGTGTTCAGATTCACCTCTTAGAACAGCCTAAAAATTCTGAACACAAACATTAAGATGACTTAGGTTGTCTCAATCTTGTACTTATCAAACTTACCTGACATATTTTTTCCCATATTTCATCACATCCTGCTTTTTCTTGAAAGCTAAGTGCCAAATCATAATTTTCAGCTTCAGACCACACAATCAAGGTATCCTTTAAAGAGAGGAAAAGTATTTTAAGGCAATGTTATTTCAGATTTTGCAAATTTGAAGAGCATTTAAAGTGTAAAAATTTAATACAAAAACAGCTTGACATCTAATTATGACAGGACAGTATTACAATACAAAAGCAATCATCATACTTTGCAAGACTTTCACACGTTCTGAGATTCTTAGGATTACAAACATTCCTGCATAAATTAAAGGAGTTCCAGAAAGATACTGCAAGTTTTAGTTCTCAATTCACATTACCATAATACTGTAAATCTCAAAAAGGTTGATCTAGAATAAGTACTTCTACCTCAATGGATCCTCTGATAGAACACTGTAACAAAAGCAACTGGCTTTGGTTTTGATTTGGTTTTTGTTTTTTTTTTTTTAAAAATCTGTTTCAACTGGGCCACATAAAACTGCACATCTTTTGTAGGAACGAAATTACAATCCTCTTTTTTCTCATTTTTATAGGCCCCAGAAGTCACTGTGCAGAAGCACAGAACAGCTGCTTAAAAAGCAGTCCCAAGATGCCTACAAACTTTAAATGAGAACGGACACTTGAATATGCACACAGCTAACTGCCTGAGAGTATGCACACCTATTACACTGAACCACGCGCACCATTTTTACACATTCCAAATTCTGAAAGGATGTTTTGCCCTAGATTTCTACAAGTTATTTGAAACTGTGCTTAGCTATGCTTACTACCCAGACAGTTAAGCTCTCATCTACTTACTAGAACAGTTCAAGAGTTTACCAGAGCCCTCATATTGCATGCAAAAACAATATATGGAAGCAGAAGCTGATGCTGCGAACAGTGATATCGCACACTGATAAGGTATTCAATGTAGTAGTTTACAGACAGTCTGCTAAATAACTGTTAGTATAAAAAATAAACACGAAAAGAGAAGAAAATATAATCTGGTTTATACACGTATCGAATCAAGTTTTAGTTTAGGTCTTTTGTCTTCCTGTAACAGCTAGCTGAAATACAGCCACATCAAACATATATGCAACTGCATTATTTCAATTAAATGCTAAAACATGTATTTACTCACTAGCATGAGACATGATAATTTTTCTACTTACATTTCAATGAGAACCGTAAGTCACAATATTCTTGAGTCATTAAGTATAAATTCTGCTTACAGTGATTATTCCTAAAGGAATTACTTTTAAATATTTGCAAAAGCACTATAAGTTGCCAGACATCTATAAAGCTTAAGACAGTTCATTAATTAGGCTTAATTTAAATATCAAAATGAACACTGAGGATAAAGAGAAATTTTACATTGAGATTTCGATATACACTTACTAGAAAACTCCTTAAACTAACTATAGTCTAAAGAGCACAGTAAGGTAGCTCCATTAGATTCAGTCAAGCAATACAGTATAATCAATTTGCCATTACCAGAGCAGCTATACTGCTTCAGAAGCACTAATGGTGTTACCTTGCAAATGGCAAATAGTTTACCTTTTCCTTTTCCAAAGGGTTGAGGAAGAGGTGGTACACAGAAGAAAGGGATTTAGGAAGACCACCTCCAAAATACAAAAGGAAGAAGAAAGTCACAATTAATACGTCATTCTCTACAAGACAGGTTATGGTGCAAATACTCTGGTAATAACAGATTGACAGCACCTAGTACTGCTGACTCCTACAGAGCCAGAAAAATAACAGGCTACAAAAATTTAGAAAGGGAATGTCCAAAAGAAATTTTTTTTTTAACCCAGCTTTTAAAAACAGGATGTCCCTTACTGCAGTATTCATTGTATGTATCAGGTTCAAAATGTAATACATTACTCTCTGTAATTAGTGCTTATACTGCAGTAATTTTAAGCCCACTGTCTCATCAGCTTTCCACTGAGTAACACTTAATTTTTCAAAAACCAAACCCTGACACTAAAGTTTAAGTAGACCCTAGCAGAACTTGCAACACTCCTATCTAATTACACCACCATTTAAGTAAAAGCAGTTAAATTTCCAAGCAAGCCATTTCCCAAAGAAGATAAAAATGTAATTTTTTGTCTGTGAAAAACATGACTAACAAATAGGGAAATTACTAAAAGAACCAAAATAAGGACAGTGTTAATAGTATTAACTGTGATAAGTCGAATAAACAAAAGCTCTAAGTCTCTGAGTAAAATCCAGCATAGGACCAAGACAGGTCAGAGGGTCCGTCTGTCTTTTTCCTCTAGGGACAGGAGAGGTGGAGGGAGAAGACAGGCAGATTAAAATGAAAGGGAAGACATAAAGGTAAAGCTGCTTTTGAAAACTATAGTCACAGAAGCACAGATGCGCATTTGGCCATAGTATAGCAACTGTTCTCATAAACAGGATCATCTACTACCATATATGGAAATTCAGACTATTTTCTTCACCTGTACACATTCCGATTTTTCATTTTTTCCTTCTTTGGAAATCAAAATAAAACCTGCTGATATAAATTATTCAAGCAACAGAACAATTAACATTCAAGTTCGGTATATTAGTATCAGAAAAGTATTTTCCAATCGACAACATTAAAAATTTCTAATTATTAGTTATCTGTTGTCTTATATCACACACAGATTTCATATCATAGATTCTTATCCGTGCCTCAACAGAAATCTATCAATTGCTGCTCTCTGGATCTTTAGTAAGAGTATTTGTACATTCTTTCTTGCCTCAAAAGGCTTTTAAAAAGAGAACACAAAGCAAAGTGAGAAAAAGTACTTCACTCTGTTGTGTAATACACAGTTTAAAGTTTAAATTCACTATTAAATGCAGGCAGTTATTAATGTAATTTCATTTCCTTAATCATAAAAAAGAAGAGCATGACAAGACACATATGGAGGGAAAAGTGACTGAAGGGAATTCTAGATGTAGTTAAAAAAAAACACAAATAAAAATCAAGTTTCTGCTTGTTTTATTTAAAGGAATCTTTCTATGTGTTCGATCTGAAACCTTCTCAGTGTAATCTGAATCCACTATCTACTCTGGATCTCTCAGCTATGGAATAAGACTATCTGTTGCTTCCAAATGCCAAGTGTTACTTCTTGCAACTCCAAAAAGCAACTCAAATTTCTCAAGACTGCCTCCTCCATTCAGAGGGAAAACAGCAGTGTGATTAAATATGCTTAGTAGAAGGAGGTATTGGTTACAGAGGTAAGGAGACACACATTATCCCTCTGAGCATAAAATCTTCAATCTTCTGTGATTCATAAAAGCAGTTCTGGCTCAGTTTGATCAAAAGCATATCCTTTTTCTTCATTACATACAAAATGTTAGTCTCTATAGACAAGGAACTGGATGGGATGACTAACGCAAACATCTGAAATCTGTTCTTATCTAGCTTGGCATTAAAAACAATTAAAATGTAAAACTGAGTATTAAATCATAGCTATATTGTGTGAACTATGTCATAAACATGGACACGTTTTATCATTGAAGGCTTTTACACTGCCAGAATCCTGGCATTCCAGCTCCTCACGTTCTTCAAGATGCATTCAAATTCCTGGCAAGATCTTTTTTTAATAAGCTGATAATCAGGAAGCTATTTATATATAGTTCACAATCTTATTCTGACTTTGAAAATCATTTGCTGCTTCGCAAAAAAAAAGTATTTTGACAATAGTGCCAGTTGAATGGATCATGACTATCTTAGCCCATACAAAACTTGCTGTCTCCTTAAGACCATTTATATAAATTCGTGTTCTTCCACATAATTGTTCATTATGACTGCTCATATATAACCAGAAGTTCTTAATTTTAAGCAAAAATTCTGATCACGGCTTCTTCTTAGAAGACCTGCTATGTAACATTCCCATAAAGAGGTACTTATCATTTCTACCAAAGGAGGCTGCACTGCTATCCTTATAAAGATACAGCCTGAAGCAAAATTTCTTCAGAATACAGTCGGGGATTCCTCCACTATTTGTCTCATCGTTGGCTGCATCACACTCACATGGAGCAAGTTCTTGTTGGTTAGTTAGAAGTTTTCATGGAAGCACTACTGTGTGCAACAGCTTTATTTGAGACTTCATTTCCACGAAGCTAAACCACTACTGCAATAGTTTACGCCAGAAAGCAGTGGCAATTGTACTTAGATGGATGAGGCTCAGTATCTACCATGTGATTTCTCCTCACACTTTTTTAATTGCTTCCAAAAGTCTTACTTTCCTTGTTGAATACACACTATGAGTCAAGTTCTTGCTGTAACATTCAGCAGAAGTCACACTTTTATTAGACATTCAATCAATTTTATTTAATTATTAGCAAGCTGATCAGCAGGTGCATTGTACAGCATTCATACAATCTCCAAAGCAAGCCCAGGGATTTCATAATGAATTTCAGAGCAACCAGTCCTCAGGATTTGATTCTGCTGCAAAATTGATATAAGCTTTCATTCCTAATGTGATAAAATTAAGAAAACTATTACTGTTTGACAATGGCCTCCTGTATTCACATCCAGGGAGAATACCAATCTTTGCTGCAGCTCCAAAATATTCTCTTGGCATCCCTGTGAGATTCAACCTACTCTCAAGAACTAGTGATACCCAAATCAGACAGGTCTTTCATAAGTGCTTGCTTTCTGTCTTAAGAAGCAAATTAATCTCTTCCTACTAGTCATCAAACAATTTAGGCCTGTGAAACTTAGCTGGGTTCCACTGGACGTTCAACACAGGAAGTTTGTTCCTCCCCCTCTTGGACTGTCTGACTGCTAGTCTTCCTTATCTAAGCCCCTTACACTGTTTACAGTTGCAGACACTTCCATATGTCAAGCCACCTTTCAGCATCTTGCTAGCTAAATATTTACAATCAAAAGTACAGTTTCCTAAGCAGTTTCCAGCTTCAGAAATAAACTACTTGTGCTACCCAAGATTTTTAAGTTTATTTATACAGCTATCATGTTAGGTTGGACCAGGATCTTCAGGCTATAAAATCCTGTCCCAGTAATGTAATATAAAGGTTCAATTCTGCATTTGGTTTTGAGCATTTATTCAACTAAAACTGGAATATCTGAATGTTATCCCAAAAATTTGGATAACATATCAAAGGCACACTCAGTCTTACGGCAGAACTTATTCTATCAGCTTCTATGAAAGCTCAATATCATACGTGACTTTTCGGTTAGCAATTCCATAGCTGCATTCCCATGAATCCTGAAATAAAAAATCAGTTTATTAGTTCTGTAACAGAACTGACTCACTGGACTAATGACCATACCCAGAAGCAGCAGAAAAATTAGATTTCGCTGGAAAACATGAAGATAATGGAACATGTGATCATTTAAAATAGATGAACCAACCCACCCAAACCCAAGAGCAGTCACTCTCCTTGTTTCTCCTCTCCCCGCACAAAACCACACATTCTTCCTTACTATCTTAGCTACAACAGGCACAAATTTTATTGAAATAGTTTCACTGTTGGCTCAACTGTCCTGACAGCAAGGGCAGGAAGTTCACCTTCTCAGAGTTATTCTGCCAGTGCCTTTTTGGATCTATTAAAAATTTAGCTTTGTTATTAGCAAGTCTGCTTTCCATTATACAAGGATAACCATCTTCGAGGTACATAGTTAGTAGAAGGTACTCTGGAGGAAGGTAAGCTTTGTATTCTTATGAGGAAATGAAAAAGGGGCTGCAAAAGTAGAGGACACAAGACCCTGAAGTTTCTAGTGCAGAGGCAAGACTCTGCAGCTGGAAGCAACTCAAGTCCTCCTCGTTTCAGGCACAAAAGGGGATGCAATACCTATTCCATCACTGAGTTATAGGATGTACATGGACGTATTTAAAATAAAGGTGAGAATATGAAAGTCTTTACTGTTCTATAGCTAAAGCATTGCCAAAGTAAATTTAAAGTATATTTAAAAGTATATACCCCAGTCCACATCCTTATCAGTTTTCTCCCTAGATAAATGCTAAGTATATAGAGTTTATTTCTCCCCTAAGGCTGCATAAGAGGAGGTGTGTTGTCCTAAAATACTAATGGAATTATTCATTTTCTGAAGAACGTTCACTTTAGAACAGCACCTCTGTCACTAGCATTCTGGAACTGCACCATTTCAACACTTCAAAAAAACCCCAACAATGTAAAAAGCAGAGCATGGACTGAAGTGTGTGTAAACTGACTTCACCAGGGCACTACAATTAAAGTATCTTCTACCCTTATTAGTATATTAAGAAAACACCACCAGAAGAGGAAAACTAAGTATTCTATGTGTTGTCCAGCAACCATTGTATAATTAAATTCCACTTACTAAACAAAATTTGTTTTTAAGCTCTGTGCTACTTATCCATAAATAAATCCAGAATATTCTATACTGAAGTTACAGGATCATCATTATGGTAACATTTAAAAATAAGAATACTAATAAAACTTAACATACAGCCCTAAACAAGAATAAAAGTCAGTAGGCTGAGGCATACTGATGCACATTTTGCTTCTTCAGAATAAATCTTTTGCCTACAAATCACACCTTAACACAAGAAATATTAGTGCTTTTTCTGATCCACAAGGCATTATTTTCTCAAGATGTTTTCTTTCTAGCTTGTTTTTTCTCATATGGAATCCTTTCTTCTAGTATAAGTAATGATGAGTTTGCCAGGAAGTACACAGTTCAGAGCATCCAAAAACTTCCACTGGTAGCACTTCTGTGTTATAAAATCAGGTTCACAGACACATCTTTCTTCTTGAACGCAGCAGAATGACTGTTCATAGTGACAGAAAGACTTAATCTAATTTATCTGACTCTCTACATGTATCATGCTTTAACTAATTATTCCAAACCTCCAGATGGTAGGTAAGTCTGGGAAGACTGGAATTATCTCAGGACCATGCTGATGTATGGAAAATGAGTCCCCAACAGATCTCAAGATCTGCCAAGTATTCTTCCTCTCCAAAGGACAGACATTTGTATCTACCACCAATTAGATCAACATTTATGTGCATACAGAGACGTGACTAATCCACAATAAGGAGCAGTTAATGCTTTCAACCCTAAACCCCAAGAAATCTAAAGTAGACAATCTGACAAAATGTTATGTAACATTCAGGTTCACAGGGTATGGCTTCTGATGTTTTGTTTTAGTTTTTTATTTGGTTTGTTTTTGTTTGTTTGGGGTTGGTTTATTTGTTTTTTCATGGATGTTTTACACACCAAGACAACAGTGGCAGCAAGGCAAACTTGTACTCAAGGTCTTCACACTATTATTCTGACAAATAATGATTTAAGCTGTGACAGTTACCATTAAAATATACAGATGTATACCCTGAGATTGCACCATTTTTGATACCAACAATTAATGAGACCATCTGTTTCACAGTGGCACTAACACTGTGCAGCATAGGTAGAAGGTATTTTCGCCAGTGGAAGAACTTCACTGCTGTTTACAAAGGTACCTATAGGGTTGGTGAAGAATCCAAAGCAACTGTCATTGAAAGTTTCACCAAGAACTTATCTATCACACCTCTCCTTTACTTCCAAGCACAAATTATATTACTTGATCCAATAAAAGATTGTTTCTTCTTACAAGCCTCATGTCAGCCTAGACAAAAGTCATCCAAAGAACCCATCCACTAATTACATTAATTCAAATAGATAACTGAAGGCTCACAAGGCACATGCCAAGTACATCACAGTAAAAACAGATGTACTGCTATTTACCTCTTTAAAATGGAATGGAGGTTTACCCTCAACAAAATTCCAAGATAAAAGGCTGGTAAGAACATAACACTGGGAAGTTACTTCAAAGTTTTAAGTCTGAGTTTCTAGAAGATTTTTCTTGAAGTTTTATGAGCCCAACTGGCAACTGCAGGCAAACTCAAAGGTCTATCTCAGGCTGCGACTTCACTAGTAGCTGAGGTGACCTAAAGCGGCATCTTGCAGCCAAAAAGGAAAGATTTCTCACTCTTCCATCTCACAGTTCCACATATGGCTGTTGTGTGAGGCGGCTTGAAACTTCTGCTCACACAGTTGCGAGCTTTTGAAGAGGGATTTGGAGTACCAACTTGATCTTCTGGTTTCGTGAGTTCAGATTTCTATGAGAGCAGCTGGAAAGAAGCAACTCTTCCTTTCAGCTGCTAAATTCCCAATATTAGCTCATATGGAATCAGGTTTAAACTCTGCACTTGCCTTTTACTAAAGCAAGAGATAAGAAGTTGTAGCTGAACCCACGACAGAGGGCCTCACCTAAAAGATAATGTGCTACAAAGTAGGATTAATGCACACACCAAGAAAGATTTGGTATTTCTAAGGCTCAGAATGGAGCCTTACATTCAATTTATATTAGATGCCACTTCGCTTAAATATTATGAAAAATCCACCTACAAATACAAATTCTGTCTATGTAGCATAACAGCAACTTTCCTTCTTCAGCCCAGAACACATACAATGCTGTTCCAAAACAACAGGTTCAAGTTTAATATTTTTATTTCAGTAACCACACTTTCACGATCACCAGTATTGACTTGTGCAGTGCCAGATCACACCACGTCTGACTCTGACCCAGAGTAGCCATGAGCACAGGCGTGAAATGTTTTTGCACTGACAAGCACACGGGGTGGTTTGCACCAACCTGACAATTTTATGCCTACTTAAAGTCAGCTTCACATCTTATATGGCATAAAGCCTATTGATAAAAGGCTTGCCCCTCAATGCTCTTTCCACAGATTTGAATCAGCAAAGCAAGTTTACACTAGAACATCACTTTATGTCATAAAGCTGTGAAATACTCAACGTTGTTTTAGGAGTCCTAAAGCTTGAGTTACTGTATCATAGAACCGTTACCTCAGGCCAGTTCGGATTACAACCAAGAGCTAGTTTGCTTAGCATTTTTGCTGGTCTTGTCTTGTCTTTTCTTACTCCCTGCAATTGATTTTCCACCCTCCACTGGCCTTATCAGGTGTTCAGTACAGACTGTTGACATGGTGCATTACAAATTATATCAAGGGGTTGATGCAGGTTAAATTTTTCAAGGAAGGATATATTTAACCCTGGTTAAGACTGGTTCTCCTCATTCAGTTTAACGTAAAAACCTACAAACAGCTGCAGTTGCACAACCACTGGGACTGCCTGTAAGCAAAACTACAGTACATCTATGCTTATAATAAGCTATTAAAGGTGAAGACTGAAACATATTTTAATACATTAACTGCACCTGACCAGATTTTAGCAAGTCTGAGCTGACCAGACAGGCAACAAAATACAATCTGGTTCAACATTTCTAAACCTCTAAGGGTAATTCTCAGCATCTGTGAGATATGAACAGAAAACAAAATGCAAGACCTACAATTCACTTCTCACCCATCTCAGCAGCATTCTTTAGAGGCTTACAATGTATGGCTGCAATAATTGAAGCAAGGTGCAAACCAGAGGTGAGAAGCTGCTTTTATGTATAGAGAATGCTCTGAAGCTTTAGTAACCCATATCCATCTTGAAGTAAAAACCAAACAAAGGTAAATACGTAAATAGCTTTAAAGCCTTCTAGTCTTAAATAAAACACATCACAAGTTGTAGTACCTGAAATACAAATAAAAGAGCCAGATGATATTAAATTTTAGATACTATAATCCTCAGGAACCTCAGCTACTTTGTGATTTTCACACCTACGCCTGTCTCTCCCAAAGCATTTTTTGACGTAAAACAGAGTGCAAGTTATATAGATAACTTCACAAACAATGCAGAGAAATAACACACACATATCATGAAATGCACAAAAATGTTGAGAACTACTTTGTCTCCTATTTTTGGTATAAAATCATAAAATATAATTTGAAATAGAGGCAAAAAAAAATACTGTATTGCTGAAGTTAAAGAACCTGCCTTCAAACATGAAGAAAAAGTAGTATGCTTACCTGCTGCTTCTGGTACGCAGTGTTTGGGTTAATTTTTGACTCCAGAAGAAGAGAACCTAGAAAAAAAAAGTTCCACTTATTTACATGTGTACTAAATTTCGATCTCAACATGAACTTTCTGATCACTCTTTCTACAAGTACGTAGTAATACCTTTTCTCCCAAAATGAGCCTGTGAAACTCACATTCTACAGCTTTGTATTTAATTTTTCCCTCAAATACACTGTTCACATAGTACAGAATGTTCAAGACTGTTTTGAGGACTGGATTTTGAATCTCCTTCTTATTCAGAGTAATGACTTTTCATGGAACATGCTTAGAGATATTAAAGTGTGCAAAAAATCAGCACACATCGTAACTGTATTTCATAAATCACCCCCAGTTGTTTTGGATTAAATTTACTAATCACGTGGTATTTGTTCTTAAAGTTTAGCTAAAACACATTATTTTGCTGGAAAGCATATCTAGAAACTAATGCTTAGAGTAACAACCCTTGTGACAGCAGGACAGAGAAAGAAAACATCCAAGATGAGCTTTACTGATGACTCCAATACACTAGTACTTAGGGCACAGTCCTGAGCTCTGCCTTGTGCATTTGCCTAGTGAACATCTAAAACCAGCATTCCCTTTTCTGTTATAATCACCTGTTACAGGCACTATTTCACTTCAATCTTACTTTCAGTTTCAAAGCCTCAGCTTCAACTACATGAAGTTTTAGAATATTATTTTCCGCTATTCACCCAGCTGTCTAACTTCTACAAAGTCTTTACTATCTAGAAATATTTAATAGCAGCAAATATGAATTAGAATCATAAGAATTAAAGCATTTGATAAATTCAACATTGTATTTTAACTGCTGAACACACATCTACAGACATGGGAATCCTGAAATTAGCAGAGTATCATACATAACTTGAACATCATGTTTGACAAAATGCAAAAAAAACAAAGGTAAAATAAAATTAAATCTTGAAGACAATGAATGAAGATATTTCATCTTCCAGGCTAGGAGATACTAAAGAATGACCTCTTTACTACACTTACCACAGAATAACATTTCTTCTCCTGTTCTACTAACCCTGATGTTTGCAGGAAAGACAAATCAAGCATTATAAGGCTTGACTTGCTTCTCATTACTACATGATTCAACTTACTCCTCACCATTCGGGATCCATAACTAGACAAACATGAATTTGGAAACAGAAACATAGTGAAGTGTAAAAAGTGTGCTCTACACCTAATAACTGCCCCCATTCCATCCTTCTGGAGGATCTGATGTTCCACTTGTGCAATTTGTTCTCACAAAATGTTCAACTACTCAAAAATCAGTGACTGTTCTACTAGTTATTTTAGTGAGTCTACTTTAACAGGGTCAAGCCCCTTGCTGGTATGAGACAGTCCTAGGTCTCCATTACCTGCTTCTGTGAATCAGACAACAGTAACAGACGTCTATAACACAAACACATTCTTTGGAAGAAGGTTACAGAAATTTAACATACCACAAATGAAGTTCTCCTCCATTCAAAGTCAGTATCGGTATTGATTCCTAAACACAGTTCAAGATGCTTAATCTTGCATTTGTCATAAGCAATTACTTTCTCTGTCGGTATTTTTCTCTTGGTACTACCCTAGAATATATTAAGACTATCCAGCCTACTTTACAAACATAGACCAACAAAATTTCATCTTCACTGACCCAATGATTATTTATAGTTAGGTAACACCTGAAAACTCACCTTAATACAAGCTATGGTTTTAATAAACCCCCCAAATTATGCAGATTTAATTATATCCTTGAATGAATTTATAAAGGTAACTGCAAAACACTGGTGCCAGAAAGTAACATTTGAAACCATCTATAAAGAAGAAAACATTGATTTGCAGAATTCTGTTATTTGCCACTAATGCAAAAAGGCACAGCTGGGTTTTTTTGCTAGTGTAACTACACCGTTCTATGCTGAGAAAGGAATGTGTGTATAGCGAACAACTCACTCAAAAGAGATTATAAACAGATATACAATGCTATTTTCAAAGATATTTAGAGAATATCAAGTATCCTGAGCCAGTAGTCTTCATCAATAAATCTGCAGACTTGCTTATATATATACATATGGAAGAGACCTGCTGATATGGAAAACAGTGCTCCTCTCTCATCAAACTGTTACACGGATCCTTCCTCAAAAGCAGAAAAGGTACAGTGTCACCCACCTCCCCGCACGAGTATGAACATGTTTGTTTAAATGAAAACTTCAACTCAAGAGCTGTTTTCTGCAAGATGCACGAAGAGGGTTAACCTCTGTGATCAGTTCTGCTGCTACTGATTCACTGAAACCAATCCACCAAAACTTAGGAAACAGCTCGAACTGAGGTCTGAGAATGTGCTCTGCATTCACAAGAGACTATTCATCACTCTAATGCATTTCTGAAGGATCAAACCCAAACGTTAAGGAGAGGGGAGAACCAGGAGAAACGAAACAAAATAATTCAGTCCCCACCCCCAACTCCCATCGTTTTGTTTGGGTATTTCTTCTTTTGGTATGGGTATTTTGAGGGTAGGGGGTGGCATTTTCATAGGATCATAGAATACTTTGGGTTGGAAGGGACCTTAAAGATCACATAGTTCCAGCCCCCTGCCACAGGCAGCAACACCTTCCACTAGACCAGGTTGCTCAAAGCCCCATCCAACCTGGCCTTGAACACTGCCAGGGATGGGGCAGCCCCAACTTCTGTGGGCAACCTGTGTAAGAGCCTCACCACCATCACAGTAAAGAACTTCTTCCTATTATCCAACCTAAATCTCCCCCGTTTAAGTTTGAACCCATTCCCCTTTTTGTCCTGCAACTACATGCCCTTGTAAAAAGTCCCTTTCCAGATTTCTTGTAGGCCCCCTTTAGGTATTTTAACCTAAGGTAAGTTCACAACCACAAAATTTTTGGTGTGGCTTTCCTATAAATAAATAAAATTAATCCCTTGAGTTTGGAGCAAGGTAAAATAAACTTAAGACAATTTCTGGCTAATCCTTCTGCCAGTATTACATGCTTACTGATAACTAGTCTAAAGAAACAGCGAGGATGTAGATGCCTGCCTGGTGAGTAAAGCCATTAAATATGGCCTCCAATGGGGGAGTTCACTTTGGCTTGTCAAAAAGTTTAGTTATAGGCCTAGTAAGCTTCAATTAAAAGTTTAAGCCCTCAGATTAACATGACTTAGTTGAACAGAAAAGTTCACTATAGAAGTCACTTCAAGCATCTGGGCTCAGAACAGAAAACGTGATCTGAAACCATGCAGTTAAAATCTAGAAGCACACAGACATTTCAAGAATGAGGTAGGTCACGGCAGCCTCAAATACCATGTGAGAAACGGGTAAGAAATCCAAGGCTTCCAAATACACACAGAAGCTCACAAGAAAGGTGATCAATTATAAGAAAAGAGTTCATTATTGCCCTACTGCAACTCAAGTAGCATACAGCTCAACTAGGAATCATACAAACTTTTCAGGGTTCTAAGTAAAGAAGTTAATAGCTGTTTAAGTGTAAAAAACCAAAACCAATTCCCTGTTTAAAAGCATAATATATCTGATCTGAAAGCAGTTTATGCTATTTCTGTACAGTAAGAGATTACACCAAATTGCCTGCAATGACTCTTAAAGTTTAGTGCCTGGGAGCATTAGACATCTCAGATAACGCAAATCACTCAACTGCTCTCGACTCTTAAGATGGTGTTAAAAAAAAAAAACAACAAACAAATAAAAAACCCAAACCCCAAAACAACACCAAACCAAGGAAAAAAACGAAACAAAACAAAACAAAAACCAACTACTCCTATGGATGGGAAAAAAAAAAAAGAAATAAAATTGCATTCTTACTCAGCTCTTATTCCTCCAATTCCAGGTGATAGCTTACCTTGGACTTGGCATACTGATTGTAGCTCCCTTATCTGAATCCCCTGACCCTGCCATAAAACCTCAGCCACTTAGAAAGCAGCTATGGAGCCACACCAAGTCACAGGTGCACAATCAAAAGACTGAACTACATGCTAGCCCTGATGGTCAGCCAAATGAACCTCTGGTAATTCTGCTGTCACTCTGTGCACAGCCGAACTAGCCCTTTCCCAAGAGTGGGAAATTCCCATCCACAGCAGGAACCCTTGCTAACATCCCCCATGGCCTCCTCCACTCAGGAAACAGAGCCTTTAACTTAGGCATATCCCGAGGTTTTCAGTCAGCTTCCTGGAGTAACTCAGTAAGAACACACCAACATGCACAGGATGAACCTCAGCTCAAACACTAGGAAAAGCTGGTTTAGAAAAGGAGGAAGGAAGAAGTTTCATTGTGGAACAAGGAGGAGCTGACAAAGAAAGACAATACGAGAATGCAATGGAAACATGGATACGAATGATGTATAGGTCAGGTTCCCAGTACATGTATGTTTCAGATAACTTGGGGGG